AAATTAGTATAATTGCTATAATTAGTATTCACTGTAATATACGAATGTATACATTGTTTAATGTTTCTTATAAATTATAGCGTAGATTGTAAATATTAAGTTTTAGATTTTCTTACTTATCTTTAAATATTTTGATTGAATTGAATATTAATATAGTCATCACCATCAGGGCTGGGATTAGTGGGATTTGTATGCAACAGTATGTTTTTTTGGTACGTCCAAATAATATAATTTAAGTCAGTAATGTCCGCAATTTATATTATTGTGATGAAAATGGTATTATTTTTATTTTGTATGTTTTTACATATATATTGTTTTTAAGCCGATAATAATTAAGCTGATCAAAGTATATAACTTGGTTTTTGGTCAACCAGAAATTTTATTCTTATAAATACAATCCTATGGTACAATATACTATGTACGTTTGCCGATCTAAATGATCTATTAGAAAATTTAAAAAATATGTAGTCGTAGCATATTATAATACACATATTTCTACTATTGAATGGGAATTATAAATTTTTTTACTAAAATAATAATTAATGCATGTGAAAAATAAATAATTACTTTGATATTTTATCTTAATTATACATATAATATATATGACAATCAGTTAATCACTGATGTATTTCAATAAATAAATATATTTTTTATGTGTTACCGTATATTTAAAAAATTAAAATGTATATCTTTGCATATTTTGGTAAATAAAATGCATATTTTACAATTTTTATTGCGTACAAATCCTAGCCCTAGTCATCACTCATAGAACCGTGCTCATAAGACATCAATAATCAATTATCGTCACTCGTGATAATAGTATAATAGGTACTACAATATTACTACGAGTCACGTGTGGCAGATCATCATACCATTCATACCTATCAATATATTATATATAGGTACGATACTACCTACTAATTAACACTATACTTATATAAATTGCATACTCATTATAGGTACCAAATGCAGTGATGCAACTATTGGGCTAATTTTTTTTTACCTGGTATTATATGAAAAGTAACCAACGAGAGCGTTGCCCCCACATACCCTATATATATTCAATTAAAAATATAAAAATTTATGCAAAAAATAAAGAGAAATATTTATTTATAATTTACTGTCCGTACATTCTTGTTCAGTACCTACATATAGATACTGTAAAATTATGTATGATATTCGTACCAACGTATTGACATAAATCGWTTCCTTAAAAAAGAATACAGCTAGTTTGCCTATGATATTTACCAGATTTATCWTAGACTATTGTCTWATAATATAAGCTTAATTTTTTCCCAAAAAAATAAATAAGAATTACAATTGGGTTTTTAAAGATTTTTACGTTTATGGCCTGATATGATACATAAAGAATACATAAAACAATAAAACATATTATAATCATGTTTTTTTAAATATATTCACCTACAATAGGTATAAAAACAATATTCATATACAATATATATTTTTATATTATAAATATATGTGTATTATTCTTAGATCTTGCTCATTGCTCATTTGCTCGTACATGGCCTTCGTTATTTTCTACATCTTACATCGTTGTACGAAGAATCAATGGAAATTTAACAGTAAAGATTTTTAAATTTTGATTTAATTTAAAATAAAAAMAATCTGTTATGTACATATCGAAATTAACTTTTGCAAATCTATTCTAAATAATTGTAAAGATATTATAATGTCCTGGTATAAAGCTTATTAATAATAAAAATAAATCTATTTTATATATTCAAAAGATGTAGGAATTGTTTCAGAATAATTCATGTCACACGAGTTTGACTTTCAAAACATTTTCTACAGTAATTTTATCTTTTGAACAAAATCTAACAAACATAATTAATTGAGAAGTAGAACTAGTAGCTACTAGCTACTGACGAAAAAAATCGACAGGCTACTAATTCGTTGTTTATTGAATCGAATACTTCCAAGTTGTTTAACCTATACGGACACAAAAGGTGTGTCGGAGATCTATAAATTTGAAAATTTGTCATGTACCTATTTCTTTGAAATTGGGAAATTTTAAAAATATAGCATTTATAATACTGTTTCAATATGCAATATTAAATTTAGCATCCGAAAATGATTTCATGCTTTTACTAAAAAATGTGTTTATTATTACTTCGTAAGATTCTTTTGTTGTAAGTTAATTTTTGTTGGTAAACTGTAGCATAAAATTATTATCAGAAAAAAATTCCTTTTTTAATTCAACTATTTTTTCTTCTTTGTCTTTAGATAGCAGAGGTTAAGTTTTAGAAAATTCGATGTGGTTTTCACGGATCAATATAATGAATAAATTAGTTAGTTGGACAATTTTTAAAAGTATCTATAGACATTATAAATACGCTATTATTGAACTTTTGAACTCTTGAACTTTACACTCTGTGTAAACTCGGAAAGTGTATTTAATTTTTGTTCAATAAATATCCAACAAATCCGGGAATAGTTTATAGAAATTGCTTAGCTAACTTCATGAGTGTTAAGCCAATTTATGCTAATTTCTTGCTTAATATTGACACAGGAAAAAGTCAGAAAACTAAACAATTTTTTGAAGGGTATAAAACGGGAAATTGATTTATAAGATGGAAGACTACATATGTAAATTTAGAACTGGTCGTATAATGCATGCTAATTGTGTGATTTTTATCGAAACGGTATGTAAATAAATATTTGTTTAAATATAATTATATATGCATTTCTCCAGGCCACTATAATAGAAATTTTTGGTTTTACGCATAATCTAAAATAGTTCAAATTACGCGAATATTGTCATATAAATACATTCTAATTACCTAAYTGAATAAAATCGTTTTATCAGAATATTTTGAATAAGGGAAAGGACAGACAAATTATGTGCATAAACATACATGAAATTTGTATATATTCGCAAAAAGGCAGTAGTATACATAACATGAGAACATTTTTAAGATCAATGAAACTTTTAGTAGTTTAAAGAAATTTGGAATTGGATAAATAATTTTTTCATGACTTATTTTAATTTTGGTAGATTATAGTTGATCAGTTAAATATAAAAATACTCATGCTTAAAACCCCTATATCACTAGGATTTCCACCTATAAATGAACATTTTCATGAAATGCTTATTTAATAATTTCATTTTTTAAATACTTTATAGGTACCTATAGTTTTAATCTACTTAAAGAAATTTGAAATTACTAACTTTCCAAACATTATTTTTCGCTGGGTGAAACAAAACAGCTTAAAATAATATTGTAATAATGTAAATTGTAAGGTTCTTTATCAATTGTATGAATAGCAGTTCRAAAATATTAATGATACGCGTATAGGCATGATTTTTTTATAAGCTTTTCAAAGTTTTTAATTTTCGACAAAAATCTTGAAAATTTGCAATTTATTAATTATATAGTTTAATTTTTATTCCTAGCTAAGAGCTAAAATTTTGATGAAATTGTAATAAAATTCTCATCAAAAATCTTGTAGATTCTCATTTTTTCTTAATTTGTATRTCTAATATTTATTTCCCATTGAATAAAAAAACTATGTACCAACGGCAAACTTTTTACTTTTGATCTCCTATAAAAGTACTTACTAGACTCAATTTGGGATCAGAAACCACACTCAAAGTGGAAGATTTTTATTGAACAGACAAAAAATATTTTTATAAAATTAATACATTCATAGCGCGCTTTACTCTACAGTTAACGGCATCTAAAACAATAGGTAAATAATGAATTATGAATATACTAACATTCATTATAATTTATATGCTGTACTCAAAAAAGTAGAACGTGATTCAGATGTTCGACATATATTTATGTGAATTGCTTGTATAGTCAAGTAGGTACTTATGAATTATTACTGAATAAGCATTTGTTCCTACTTGACAGTTTCAAAATAAATAATTTCTTACTCAGTAATACCTATCTAATATTTATTCATGATAATATTTTTATATGACGTGTACACTGTGTACAGTATAAACTGTGTACATAAATCACATTGAGAGCTTAGGTAAATAATAAAACTTTACAAATGAAATAAAATTATAAAATATCAAGACAATGAAGTTTACTCCGCCTAACAAACTGAACTAATGAATTGAATTGGTCCAGCCGATTACAGGCCATCTGGAGCACGCGTTCTATAAATAATGTTATGAAATTTTATTATTTCATTAATCCGGCTTTTGTAATTATATCATTAATCATTATTAACATAGAATGATGAAGAAATAGGTGATGCATCGATGAAAATCGTCGGATGTATACTTATTCATATCAGAGGATGACTCGCGGAAACGTGTAGACATACAACGCTCAAGAGATAGCGTTATTGTTAGCCATATTATACCATTGATTAWGTATASTTTATCAAAGATTATACTTACTATACAGCCGCCGTCGTGGCAGGCCGTAATTTTTTATGGTTTTTTTATAAAACATACTTTACACGTTTATAGTATGTGGGTTACTGAGTGGTTTTTTTATAAAAACACTTATGAACATAAGAAGCCTGATTTTTTATATCTGTAAAACATCGTAAAATATTTCATGTTTAATCACGTCTGTGTTTATAACTTTTTCGAAAGTTATTTTTGGTAGGTAYTTAAAATTTAAAAAATCAAAAATTGGGCTTCTCGCGGAACCAGATATGAATCTCTTCTACAATATTTTGTTCATAGGTGTTTGTACAATAAAACCATACCATAATCCATATTCGTTGAACGCGTAAACGTGTTTTTAAAGAAAATTTTTAGCTTGCAGTGAGACGATGATATTATATTAATAATAACTGATGAGTTATGACCTCCAAACAAACCTCCACCGTCACGCACTGGCACTTGGCAGTTGGCAGTACTCCGTTTGTCGTGTGGATCGGCYGTAGCGCCTGTAGCCGGTAGCTGCTGATGTTGATTATTTCGCAGTACTACTACTACCACCACCACGCGTTATCTCTTGAGTTTTTTTAAAATTATAATTTGTATTGATAAAACTCAACATTAACCTAACCAAAAAAATAAAGATTGTTCTTGATTCGCGTAGCCTTGAATTTTTTAKTGAGTTAAATATCAATTTAATATTTATTAGTTTTTTAATCAACTGTGATATACTCGTAAAACTTATCAAATATTTCTCATTAGTTTTATTCAAGTTGAATTGTAGGCACATTAAGCTTACATCGCTGCATGTTTTATCATTGATGAACATAATCTTCAATTATTTGAGGAACTTGGCGTGGGATTTATACTCAATATTTAATTAGTCAAACACGAATATATAAGTCAAAATAATCACTCAGCTATTGTTGGTTTATCATATTCAATTTTTGACTTTGATAGTGTGTTTTTCGTTGTACGATTTTACGGCTACGGAGAAAACAGTAAACACGACCTCACAACCTAACCTTTATTTTTGAAGAATCAAATATTTAATAACAATTATATACCACCTTCAGAAACGAAAATGTTCAGTTTAGAGGGCGACGATAAAGGTATTTAGTTTGATATTTTTAAATGCATAATAAAACTAGTCATTGTTATAGACTCATTGTCTTTATGTGTTATATTATTTCAATAATAACTATTTTAGATATTAGATTATAATAATTATATTGGTAGACTAAGACATATATTATATAGTTATATGTTCTTTGTCTTTGGCCTATCAATATGTTGTGTTTCATAGTAGTTTTAATGATATTTTATAGTTTTGTTGTGTACATTTGATTGTCAACTTTATATGTTCTTACCCTTMATAAAAGTACACAAGATATCTAAGTTTTRTAGGAGCAACATAGAACGACCTAATGTCAGATAAAAAAACCCACTTTATTATCTATTACAATCAACTATAAAATCCCCCAAGAGATAGTCCTACAATACAAAATACACTTAAATTGTGTAAAGTATAAACAAATCATAGACCTTATACTAAGTATACTTAGTATAAGGTCTACGAAAAAAATCAATGTGTGGTGTGCTATTGAAGATAAAAAAATGCATAATATAATATATTTATCAATATATCATAATATATATTAGCCATGTTGATTACAATTACATTTTTTACTATTTCTTAAATATTTTCTATGCATATTATATTTTATGTAATGATGATAATAATAATACAATTTTGGCTTGGTGTCTACTTCAGGCAACAAAAGTGTTCTGAGTACCATCACCGGCCAGTGCCACTAGTTCCCAGATAGATGACCACCCAGGTTCTTAGTGGTAAATCTTTGCTACGGTAGGCGGAAAAAATGAACACAGAAAAAAAACCCCAAAAAAAAAATCCAATGGAAAAAAAACCCACAAAAATAAAAGTGTGCTTTATATTATTTTGTTGACTAACTCAAATACCTATCATAATACAATCACATAGTTATTTTATTTTGTGATAAAACAGTACATAATATTCAAATTATAAATATAATAATTAACAAATGTGTAATAAAACATAATTGGGTGTATTGTGATTCCATTCCCCTTGTATAAAACCATTGTAATAGGTATAAGTTTAAACTTGAACAAATAACAGACACTCATATTATATTCCAAACTTATATTTATATAATTATATAATTTCCCAAAGTGCCTTCCTGGTTGGTTCTTCCCTCAAGATACTACATATATAATAATTTAAAAAAAAACATCATTTATGCTTATTGTACTTTTTTTTTATTTACAGATAGTATAAACTAGATTAAAAATAAAAAAATATTATATAATAATTATATTAAATATAGATGTATTAACATTTATTTTTAATTTTAATTTTTTCGAAGGGCTTTTTTCTGTGGGTTTTTTTCCATGGGCTTTTTTTCCTTGCTAACTTCTTTTCTATGGGATTTTTTCCATAGGCTTTTATTCCGTGGGCATTTTTTCCGTGGGTATTTTTTCCGCGATTTCTTTGCTACACATACTCATGTTTGAACCAATCATTACAACCCCTATGATAGCTAATTGCCATAGTTGCTGGCCGCTGGGGCTTACATAATCAATTAAAAGTAAAATAAAATTATTAATTAAAAATGTTTTTATTATTATTTTTGGGTTAGCCAATAGAGGAATGTTGACCAGTTTTCCATCTGTTCCATCTCCATATTTAAACTATGACCCTCAACTTCTACCCCAGTCATCTCAGCCTGAATATATATTTTTGGAAGGGGCTGGTTCCAAGCAACGTGGACGTTTTGAATTGTCCTTTACAGAAATTGGTACATCATGTTTGATTGGTGCTACAATTGGTGGCATACGTGGAATATACAGTGGTATAAAGATGACATCAATGGAAAATCAAACTAGTACATACAATAGAACACAGTAATATTTATTAATATTATGCTATAAAAAGTTCCTTAATGATTAACCTTAAGAAGTACTAATATTGTAATATGTATTTTCAGGATCTTAAATAGTGTTTTTAAAAATGGAGCACGTCTGTCTAATACATTTGGAACATTATCTGTATACTATAGTATCTTCGGTATCATATTAGAAAAAACAAGAGGATGTGAAGATGAGCTTAATACAATTGTAGCCGGAACAAGCACTGGACTCTTATACAAAGCCACAAGTTAGTATTTATACAATTAAATCTTGTAATTTTTTGAGAATATTTTACATAATTTTAATGAAAAAATAAACAATAAACTATTTTTAAGTAAATTTAACTCAAGGTATCCCACACAAGTTTTCTTAGTAAAGATTTATRCAAGGTAAGATATTCATTATAAATAAAAAAATCCTTTGTCAAGAATCTAAACTATTTAAATAAGAAATCTAAAAAAATAATACACTTTATATTTCATATTTTTTGATTTAATTGTAGATTCAGTTTTTAATATAATTCATAGTTATTGTTTCTTAGAAGTTATATTTTATATTATAAGATATAGTTTTTAAAGGACGTTTTTACATCTTAAAATAATCATAACTTGCTTTAAAATTAAAATATGATAAAAGCTTATGAGGCTGTCTGGATAATAATCTTACCTTTAAATTTCATTAGAGGTCAATTCACTCTAAATTTTAAACTAACAGAGCTACACATTTTTCTACTGAGCATAAAAATTGCTATGTTACGCACCTATAAGACGGATACAACACATACAGGTCCTCTTAAGTATAGATGGAAAATAGCTAAGGGAATTCATTTCATTATAAATCAATCAAAACTTGTTCAATAACAGATGAATAATTATAACACATTTATTATTTTTACTTAGCATAATATTGTGAGCCATAACTTATCCACTTGGTTCTACCATTGTATAAATATTAATTTAAAAAAATAAAAATGTATTTATATTTTATTATATATTTCATAGTTATTAAATTATTATTCTATGTTTCAGGTGGTCTTAGAAGGTGTGGCATTGGTGGTTTGATTGGATTCAGTCTTGCTACAGCATTCAGTTTGATTACATCAAGAGAAAAAATTAAAGATATGGGCAAAAATGTATTTCATTCCTAAAAATGTTTACCAGAATAAAATGTTTGCAAAAATAAATGCTCATAATAGTTTCTTAGATACACAATTTAATGCCTTTTGATTGATGAAAACTATATTAACTTGTTTGCAAGAGAGGATTCAGAATCTATGTAGTAGGGGGTAATTAAATTAAAATCATTTTTACGAGGTTGATTTTTAATAATTAATGAAAAATAATGATTTTTTTTTGTGAATGGGATACACCCCCCCCCCATGGACCCTCCTTGCCAATTTAGAGGCCAGACGTATTGAAATTTATTGATTCGTAATTTAAAAAAAAAACATTTGGATGTATATAACATGTATATTTTAARAGCAACATTTAAAGTTTGTTATTTGAATTAATTTTCAATATAACTGCTGTCACGGTTCTGATAATTTATCAAATTATATAGTTTAGAAAACTAATTAGCAAAAATAAATTAGTATTGTATTGAAAGTATGAAATGTAATTTATATGCATTATTCTATTATAAAATTATCAGTTAAAGGGATATTTTGGACCTTATATTTATTTGATTGATTGATTTGCTATTCATCTAATGTTAATTTTAGTGACTGATGTAATTGTTATTTTTTATACATTTTATTTGGAAAGATTAGAAAAAACTAGATTTTTGTTTATAGTTTTATTAATTTAAAACATTTGATTGAGATAATCAGTGGGGAATAGTTTCTTATTTAGTTAATGCCAATGAGCTTAACTAAATGAATATTGAAGCTCTTAAACTTAATATAATTTATCATATTTGATGATAAATATGTAGATATCCTAATTTTCATTTTTAATCTTATTGGCTATTTTACAATTCAATTTTTTGAGTATAACATGTTACTATTTATATTTACTTCTTATATACACTATATTAAATTTTATTATATAAATAAATTTGTTTTTCCTATTCTCTAAATAATTATATTGTGAAAAAAATAAGAAATATTATTATCAGGATGACTGGTTGTTGTTTTTAGTTTTCTAAAAATACACTAATGTAGTATGTGTCATGTATAACAAACTATGATTTTTATAAATTAAAAATTTGGATATATGATTAATTTGAAAGTATATTATTGACTATAAATTATCTGTGTTAATTGTTAATTTTGCTTTCATCTATTATAAAATATATTATTAGATGCTATGTTGATTATTGCATCATATTAATATGTGTAGACTTAATTCAAAATTTCTTTTACAAATATAAATGTTAGTATCAAATGTATGTAATGAATACCTTTTTTTTTTACTCAGCTAAGCAGTATAACACACTCTTTTATATATTAAATGTAAGTAATTAATAAATCCTTATTAAACATTAAGGTGTTCAATCCATTTACACGAATGTTGGGACATTTTGAATATTATATATAATAATAACATTACACATTATAGTAGCTGGTGCTTAGTAGGTAAAATTTACTTATTCATAATTTGTAGATCCCAGTAAAACAACTCCAGAGATTTTTAATTACTGTTAGGTCTTAAAAGAAATAATATTAATTAATTATACTAAAAATACTTACTAATAATTATTTGTATACTGGTATAGTCAACACTCAATGTTAGTTATGTTATAAGTATCAATTGATTACCTATTCTTCATTCCAGCCCAATCATTATTTTCAGTGGTTATTTACAATATTTACATACTGCATTGTTAAAAAAAAACTTGTAGTATTTTGGCTTTTAAATGAATCATTTCAGTTTTAGTTGGATGTAGCAATTTTAAACTTATATTACTAAAAACAATACTAAAATTGATAACCTTTTTATACTAAAATTTAAAAACAATTAATGTATTAATCATAATACATTGATACACTGAATTAGTTAATTTTGTTAACGTGGGATAAAAGCGACGCCATTTAAAGAGGGATCACAGATTTCAAAAGCAATACAATGCACCTATTGTGGGATATCTGGTTATAGTAGGTTTATTTTTGTACATAACAGTTAGTTTTGGTCTCCTGGTTAGTACATAAGTCGGATACGTATCATTAATAATATTTAAGTATTAAAAAAAAAAAGTGATGATAGAAAGCACCGACTACTTACTAACACATAATATTATGCATTATTATTTTTTACTTAATACACGGGTGCTTAGTAAATTAGCGATAAAAATATTGTTTAGTTAAAATATTTTAATTAACAATCCAATACTTAAAAAAGCARKWAAATGTAATGAATACTAAGTACTACCAACATATATAAGTATATATGTATATTGACTACCAATACCACGAGATTTCGATTAAAATTGTCATGAATTCATGCCAGTATTCACTATCCAGTAAAAGGTGTACTACCTATGCGGTTATGCTACGACGCTTGCAGGAGGGGGCGAGCTTAGTCCAGCTGGACTCGGAGCCGCCCCCTTCAATGCGTAACTGGTATACAGAGTGAAATTTTTCCTCATCGTTGTCAGCAAATGTGAGATTTTATTGATTTTTTATTTTAAAGTAGTATATTATTATGTCATTTAAAGTTAAAAACTAATTGAAGATAATTTAATTGGARTTCTCAATCGTCTAATGTTTCTGGAATGAATGTTACCTTGTTCCGTAATAAACAATAAAAAATCACTCTGTATGAAATGTTTGTTTGAACGGTATGATAAGTCGAAAATTCTGGGACCGTTTTTATCTATATTGATAAGGACATGAAACACAATAATGTGTTGTAATTATTCTTTAATTCTGTATTTGTATGCGTTCATAATGTCAAGAAATTTAAATTCTTAAGTATTTTTATTTCATTTGACCATTAATGTATGAATCTTGAGATAATAAATATTTTCGTGACTCATTAAGTGTGGTTAAATATTGATTTTCATCCATATTCAATCATATTTGTGAATACCGCGAGATTGAAAAATGGCAGCTCAAATCAAACCCGGGCCAAGCTCAAGCAACGATAAATTTAATTCAAACCGCAAGCCTGTATTATTAGCTAAGCTTGAAGGATGCAGCGACAATGTAAACAAAGCCATCATTATTCCCGAAACCGATGGTGTCATTAGTGTTTCAAGTGATCGGTAATATTATTTTAAATTAAGTTTGTTTAAGTTTTTATCTGATAGTTCATTAAATATTATATCTACGAATTAATAAGCTCTTAATCAAAGAGAATTAAGATTTTCAAGATAAATTCAATACATGTTGATTCATAGTTGTTACATACCAACTCAARTTTAAGTCAGAGCCCGATACTGGTTCCGCTGGTATCCTGTATGTATATCTTTTTGTACAATTCATATTGAATTGATATGTATCGATATACTTCTACTATTTTCTTAAAATTCTTGTACACATATTTAAATGAATATACAAAATACACTTACAACTTAAAATAATAACTAACTACCTACCTGTGGAATATATTATAATGATACAGCTACCTATGATTGATTTATAACATGTTAATATTTGGTGTGATACAGTAGATATAGTTAGATATTTTTATTTTTAATAACTATCCCAGGGTTGGGCACTTTTCAATTACAGTAATTCAATTACTTCAGTAATTTGTAATAGGTAATTAATTATAAAAATATTGATGTAATTTGTAATTGGTAATTAATTATTAAATATTGATGTAATTTGTAATTGGTATAAAGAATTAMAATTTTTCAATGATAAAAATTTAGAATTTAGGATTTTCTACGATGTAAAATATTAGATATAACTTGTACAGCATAAGTTTTATCGAACATTCGGAACAATTTCTACTTCTGATATATTCGACAATGAGGGCAGTTTTTTAATTTGCATGTCACCAAACCGTAGTAACCCTTTAACAAATTCCTCATACTCAACAAGTATTGAATTACAGATATTGCAATTTTTTAATGACAAAAATAAAAGTTTAACATGTTTAAACAATTATCCCGTTGTTAAACAATTATTCATTAATTATAATACTAATATTTATTTTGTTCGTCAGCACCGGTAGAGAGATTGTTTTCATATGCTGGCTTTATAATGGGCACCTACTCATTCCTGGTTGTCTGACGAACAATTCAAAAAACTTGTATTTTTAAAAGGTAACCAAAATTACGGGGTTATCTATTTTTCTATGAACCTATATTTTCCAATGTTTTWTTGTTTTTTWAATTTAATTGATACACATTTTTTCATTTAATAATATTAATAACTACCTAATACAATTGTACAAGGCTGGGCATTAATGAGTTAAAAAGTTAAAGTTAAGTTATTTAACGAGTTACTTTTATTTTCAAAAGTAACTTCCAGCTTAACAAGTTTATTTTTTTTTAAACAACTTCTAACTTAACGAGTTAAAATAATTAGTTGACTTGCCCAGCCTTGCAATTGTAATACAATTTTTAAATGTAATTGGTAATTGTAARTAATTTAATTATGTAATTTGTAATTTGTAATGAAATGTTCTACAATCATGTAATTAGTAATTTGTAATTAATTACTGGTATTTTGAGTAATTTTTAATTTTTAATTTGTAATTAATTACTTTTTTTTGATAATTTGCCCATCCTTGACTATACCTATATTGATAATYATTATATAATATGTTATAGTTAATCAGTTAGTGAAATTTACTCAGTTTGTTTATGGATAATATAAATTTAAATTTTTGAAAAATGTTAAACACACTATTATTATTGTATAGAGCAGGAGTTGGCATTTTTTATTCTATTAGGGTCTAGATGATATGAAAAAAATAAATTTGTGGTCCAGAATAACAATAGAGTCTTTAAAGTATCAGTATAGTTTACTTAAAAAAATTTACCTGCACACTTCCATTACTTTTTTAAATCTATTTTTTGTTTTAATCAAATTGTTGGCTGTAAATTGAGCTAATTTTGTTTTATCTAAAGATTCAATTATCCTAATTTATTAATTTTTTTAATTATTCTGTCCAAACAAAAGGGTAATTGTGGCCATCTAATATTAAAAATCAATGGTTCCGCTCTTCTGTTATGTTGTTGATTGAATGTCTATTGTAAAGGATGATTTAATGGATGTCAGTGATAAATACTGTGGTGGAATATTTTAGAGTCAGACACCATTATTAAGATTATATCCAACACACCTATAAGATACATGGACTTTTTAATGATATCAAAATACTCAACTATAATAGTTGCATCTGAAAGCATATTTATTTTTGAAAAATTGATTATTTCTTATACTTGATTTTCTGGTTAACAGCAAGAAATAATACTAAGATATGGCGTTACAATTAATCAAATTAKTAAAGATTAGTCAGACAATTTAGCTAATTATTATATTTATGTACTACTAATAATATTGTAGGTTTTCAAAATGTGTAGCTAATATTGTTTGCAAATAATCTGTAACGTTTATTATTATTATTGATTATTTATATATATATTTTTTTAAACTAATTTTTACAAAAGATGACCACCACATAGGTCATAAATTGTATAAAATTGTTTTAGTACAAAAATATTGTATAAAAAGATTTGAAAGTTGGTCACACAAGATTGATTTGTTTAGCTTATTTCGTCGCTTTTTAATACTATTACCACTGTACCATTGATTTATGAGGATATTAATGCTCTACTTGTTTTTTATCTTTGAAATACATTATACAATGTGACACATTTTTATTTAACWAAACCAATCATGTGTTGTTAGCTTTAATATTAGAGTGAACTAATCTAATAAAGATTTTGTCAAAAGTCTTGTTAACTTAAAGAATCAGTAAAATCTCCATGTTTGCTTATTAAATAAATGTTCTTCTTCTTTACCCTTCGCATCATACTATATATATGCTATTCTTGTCCTTTACTTTTATGGCTCTGTCTTYCATCTCTTCTTTATGTATATTAGCTATTTTCATTTCATTCTCTCTTCTATCAATCCATCTCTTYTTCAGTTATCCTTTCCCTCTCATCCCTTTTAAATTCATTTTCACCTTTGCTTACTCTTACTATAATAAATTATTTAAAAAAGAAAATTCATCATTTGGTATCAAATTTCATTTTAATTTAAATTGATATAAAAATAGGTACATGTACCTAATAGGTAACTAATAACTATGAATGTTATTATTTTTTCAAGAACTTAACTTCTGGCATTCAGACACTGCAAATAATATTAATGAAATAAAAATTACAGTAGATACCTTTTGGAAAGTTTATTTACAAATTTATTWATGTTTGATTTTAAAATAAAATATTAATTTTTTCATGTCTACCAATTAAATTAATATTGACATTTTCAGATCTGTTAGAGTATGGTTAAAAAGAGATTCAGGTCAATATTGGCCAAGTATATGCAATTACTTGCCTTCACCTGCTGTTGATTTATTTTATCGACCAATATCTAGACAATTATTTGTTGGACAAGAAAATGGAACTATATCAGTAAGTGTAACACATAATTATTATAATAGTTTATTTTAAATCACAAGTGAATATTTTTATAGTTTAAAATAGTTAAATAAAATAATTATCGTTATAAATTAATTTTTAAAAATTAAATTAAATATTTAGGTAATAGACATTTCTTGTTTTCACTTGTTTATTTATAAATTAGGTATAATTATAATTATTTTATTTTTTTGCTACTTATTAAAAGTCGAAAATTATTAAAATTAGTTATTTTRTTTGTTTAGGAATATATTTTAGAGGAGGATTTCAATCGTATGGAGCCTATAGGTGATATTTTAGCTCATTATGGCCGTATAACTGGAATGATTTGGACTGAGGTATCCATAGATGGTACTATGGAACAATGGATTTTAAGTACATCTCGTGATAAAAGATTTCAATATCATAATGCTAAAAATGGCAATCCAATTGGTCCTCCTTTTGTATGTGCTGCGTGGTGTACATCTTTGGAGTATCCTTTGAATTACAACTTACTATTTTCAATAAGAATAGCGGTCTATGTAAATAATAAATAATGTTATTTTTTGTATGAATTTGATTATTTTTAATAATTTAATACTGTACCATAGGTACAACAATTGTGATTGCATCATCTTTATGTGCTAATATTATAATAATCTTAATATCTATGTTGTGTACGACATTAGTAAATTTGATTTACATTACCTAAAATCAGATATGATGCTGAATCAGCCCATGCATTTGTTGGAGATTACTCTGGAAATATTACAATGCTGAACATAAAAGCTGATGGGTTACAAGTTGTTACTACATTGACTGGCCATACTGCATGTATTGAAATGCTTGTTTGGGATTCATCGACAAGGCGTTTGTTTTCAGCCGGACATGATCGTTTGATTATAATTTGGGATATTGGTGGAGGTCATGGCACGGCTTATGAACTTCATGGTCATACGTAAGTTTTTTAATATCTAAATACAATTTTATGCTATATCATAACTTATAATGTGTGATAGTTAATTATTATATTTTTATAATAGTAACAAAATAAAAAAAATGCTCAATTATATTTTAATATTTTAAAATTTACTATTATTATTTATTTTATATTTTTAGTAATCGAGTAACATCTTTAGCATTTGTATCGCCTAAAAACCAATTAATATCTGCTGGCGAAGATTCTGTCTTGGTATTTTGGGACTTAAATGCAGAAAGAAAAGAAGTAAGTTATTACGGTAAATTTACTATTTAAATTTTGAAGTGTTCATAAATTTAAAAAGAAATCTTTATTTTATAATATTTATTTAAATACCTACTATATAATTGTGATTCTACTATGTAACATTCTTGTTCTTGTTTATTTTGAAATCAAAAGTATTGTTTTTTTTTTTTTAAATAGCGTTGGTTAAGTTACTTTTAAAATGGAATAAATTCACTTTATTTATCGTTACTCTAATAAAATTACTTTATTTTTAATACATAATCACTTTAATTACATCCACTTAACAAAAAATAAATAATAATAATAATTAAAAACTATATTT